TGATTTTAAACCTCTTTTTTTTTTTTTTTTTTTTTTAATTTTAAACCTCTTTACCATATTGGTAAAAATCCATGATTTTAAACCTCTTTACCTTATTGGTTTTTACTTACCAAGGTACATTCTGCCTAACGCCTAGCACAAATGGTAGGTTTTCAATAAATATTTGTTGAATGAATAAATAAACATTAAAAATTTATATAGGCTTCCAAAAAAAATCCAAGCTACTCTAGATGAAGACTAATACAATCCTATATATATATATATATATATACATATATACTTAAATATAAGTATTATATTATATTATACATTATTGTATAATATAATATAATATAATTATAAATGTTTTTATTATAATATAATTTAATTATAATATAATTATAAATGTATAATATAATATACATTTATATAGAAGGCTCTGATCTACAAGGTTTTGACTATAAATATTAGTTTCCAAAAGGCCTAAAATAGTTCATTACTTTAAATAACATCTCCTTGAAAGTTTATTAACAATATTGTTTCTTTTTCTCCACATGAAAACAAACACCCATGGACAATTTATTCAATTCTGAATTAAATCTTAATGAATGAGATTTCAGTTAAATCTAAAATTAACTTTGTCCATCATCTATGTCAGCTTGAGTACAAATCTATGACCTTTAGACAATACAGACAAGTTCTAATTCAAATGTTAACTAAAACAAGATATGGATTTTCCCCTATATAAAGCTGAAGGAGAAAAAAGCAGTTAAAAACCCCTTGAGGACAGGCACAGTGGCTCACACCTGTAATCCCAGCACTTGGAAAGGCTGAGGCAGGAGAATTGCTTGAGTGCAGAGTTTGAGACCAGCCTGGGCAACAAAGCAAGACTGTCTCTGCAAAAAATTTTAAAAATTAGCTGGGCATGGTGGCGTGCACCTGTAGTCCCAACTACTCAGGAGGCTGAGATGAGAGAATAGCTTGAGCTCAGGAGGCTGAGGTTGTAGTGAGCCATGATTGTGCCACTGAATTCTAGTCTGGGTGACAGAGAGAGATCCTGTCAAAAAAGAAACAAAGAAGAAAATAAATAAATAAGGGGAGGGAGGGAGGAAAGGAGAAAGGGAGGGAGGAAAGGAGGAAGGGACGGAGGGAGGGAAGGAGGGAATTTTAAAAACTCTTGAAAGTACCAGCCTTCCTGAAAGATAATTTAATTCTTTTGGTATTCCTAAAATAAAATGGTATTAAGATAAGTATGGTTTTGCCGGGTGCGGTGGCTCAAGCCTGTAATCCCAGCACTGTGGGAGGCCGAGGCAGGTGGATCACGAGGTCAAGAGATCGAGACCATCCTGGTCAACATGGTGAAACCCCGTCTCTACTAAAACTACAAAAAATTAGCTGGGCATGGTGGCGCGTGCCTGTAATCCCAGTGACTCAGGAGGCTGGGGCAGGAGAATTGCCTGAACCCGGGAGGCGGGGGTTGCGGTGAGCCGAGATCGCGCCATTGCACTCCAGCCTGGGTAAAAAAAGAAAAACCCCTTCTCAAAAAAAAAAAAAAAAAAAAAAAAAGATAAGTATGGTTTCTTTGCCTTTATTAGCTAACATTATTTACTAGCTAACGTTCATTGAGTACTTATTAAATGCTAGGCAATGTTTTAAGAGCTTCACTCGTTTCTCTCTTTTAATCCTTTCAGTCCCAAAGGAGGTGAATATTATTACCCCCATTGTACAGAGAAGGAAACTGATAGTGAAAAGTGTCACTTCTCTTTGATTTAAACCCTCTAAATCTTGCTTTCAACCTTGTTTCACTAATAGCAAGTGTGTAATTATAATTTTATCCTAAATTTTACCCTCAGCACTTTGAATATACAAGTAATAGTTCTAGAAATACATGTAATATTCTAATAAGACTCTAAAAAAACTATGGAGTCCAAATCTCAGACCTATAATAGAAACATGTAGGACTTACACTTTTTATCCTCCTAACACTGTCAGAGTTCTAAAAGGACTTATACTTTTAACAACACAGATAATGTTCACATGCTTCAGAAATAAGAAGACTTTGAAAATAATTCTTAATTTGTAATAGTAAGGCTGAAAATGAATGAGATTCTTAGAAAACAGTCTGAGTTACAGTACTAATGTTTTCCCATTTTTTTGGACAAATAAACAGACTCACAACTCGTGTTTAGCTTAACAATGCTATGCACAATTAAGGCCTCAGACTAATACACATTACACAGGTAATAGAAAGAGCTAGACTTCCTCATTTATATCTACACTCTGTGGTAATACGCTCTAACAAAGAAGATGACCGAAATAAGGCAGACATGACTCAAATCTATCACATCCTCCAGATGGCTTGAATTCATCACACAGCTTTTAGGAAGATTTATGTAAAAGAACCATACCTGCTGATAACTATCCTGTTCCTATTAATTCCACAAAAATGAACTCTAAACCACCTCATTTTCTTTTCCTCTCTCATGAAAAATCTTCAATTTGTTCCATTATTATAACAAAATGATATGTGGGCTGAACACACTTATTTGATACTTTTTTTTCCTTTTCTGTTCTTTGATTTATAAAGAGTAAACAGATAGGCATGGTGGTGTACACCTGTAATGCCAGCTGCTCAGGAGGCTGAGGCAGGAGGATCACTGGAGCCCAAGAGTTGAGCCTGGGCAAAATAGCAAGACCCTTTACATAAACATATAAAGTGTATCTTTTTAAAAAGTAAGTTTCCAATGACTACATTAATTTCTTTTTTTTGTTTTTTGTTTTTTTGTTTTTTTTGAGACAGAGTTTCACTCTTGTTACCCAGGCTGGAGTGCAATGGCGCGATCTTGGCTCACCGCAACCTCCGCCTCCTGGGTTCAGGCAATTCTCCTGCCTCAACCTCCTGAGTAGCTGGGATTACAGGCACGCGCCACCATGCCCAGCTAATGTTTTGTATTTTTAGTAGAGACGGGGTTTCACCATGTTGACCAGGATGGTCTCGATCTCTTGACCTCGTAATCCACCCGCCTCGGCCTCCCAAAGTGCTGGGATTACAGGCTTGAGCCACCGCGCCCGGCCATTAATTTCTTTCGAGTAGAAACTATAGGCCAGGCATGGTGGCTCATGCCTGTAATCCCAGCACTTTGGGAGGCTGAGGTGGACAGATCACCTGAGGTCAGAAGTTTGTGACCAGCATGGCCAACATGACAAAACCCTACCTCCACTAAAAATACAAAAATTAGCTGGGCATTAGTGGCCAGCGCCTGTAATTCCAGTTACTCAGGAGGTCAAGGCAGGAGAATAGCTTGAACACAGGAGGTGGAGGTTACAGTGAACCGTGACCACGCCACTGCACTCCAGCCTAGGTAACAGAGCAAGACTCAAAAAAAAAAAAAAAAAAAAAAAAAAAAAAAAAAAAGAGTAGAAACCATAAAGCTTCATGTAACTAATCACTATCAATGCCTAAGTCGACTAGAAAGAAATAAAACCAAATACTCTTAAACGAAAAATAAAGTGTATAACCTGCCTTCCTTATGCCCACCTCCCATATCCACAAATCTTTACCTGTGTTTCGGCACTGCTTAATGAATGAAGATCCAAAGATGGGTCTGTTTTGAGTTCAGGTTCAGGAGCTGCAATTGGGGCCTTTAAGATGATCTCTTCATCAAGACTGGTTCCAAATTCTATGTCTTTCTGACCTCCTTCACCTTTTTCTTTATCTGACTCTACTTCTTTGCCTTCTTCCTCGGACACCTGAGATTTGGGCCTTTTAAGAAACGACGAGAACAGTCGTGAAAGGCCTCTGCTTTCTGATGTCCGCTCCTTGTTCTTGGTCAAGTCTTCATGTGTAGGAGTGTCTCCATTAGAAGCTTTCAGCTTCTGTTCACACTGATTATCTCCTTCAGCTGCTGTTTGAGAAGATTCCTCCTGCTGAGGTTCTTGTTGGCCTGAGTTTATGGCTCCCTCGCCCTCTTCCTTCTGTTGGTGCTGTGAGTTTTCGGCTTCAGCCACTAAACTCTTCTCTGTTGTCATGATGTTGCTGTTAAAAAGAAGACAGAAAAGGGAGGCTCTTATAAGCAAAACACATTACTGTTTGCAAAATCCTAAACCCTAAAAAATTAATATACTTAGGTATTCAATTGCCAACAAACAGAATTCCAACCCATTAAACATGAGGTTTTCCATTAAAGTACAAAAATATCTACACATCCTGAATAAAATATTAATGTCTTCAGTCACTAAAGATAATGCATATAGAGAGAGCAGTTTAAAATATAGTACCCACTGGGGCCACCTTAGTGAAATGCATCACATATTAAATCCAATGCTCAGAACTGTATATAGTAAATACAGTTTTATCCTTCCTTTAAAAAGGATTGTGTTTAGTGTCCTTTGAGGGTATCAATCTGAAGGTGTAGGATTTGCAGGGATTACTTCCTGCAAAATTTTCTACACCTCAAGAGACGATGAAATTTAAAAGTTCCCCAAGTCTTTATTGTTCTTTTTCTTTACATCTCTTAGAATGCAGAGACTTCTCTATTAAATTGCAAAAGTAAAATTCTGACAGTTTCTTGTAAGACTAGACAACAGCAATGACAAGCACACAGCTGAAATAATTGCAAAAAAATTTCTTAGGTTTTCATGTTGTAATTCCAAATTACATCCTCTCTCAGAGGTATCCCATTTTAAGCTTTTCAGTCTCTTTTTGCTCCTGATAAACATGATTTTAAAAGCTCAGCATTTTTAAGAGTAGGAAGTGAAACTAACAATAGAGAAGTGAGATAAGGAAGAAAAACTCAGGAAGTGTTGATTCACTCGTAGGGAAGGAGAAGAAAGCAGGCAGTTGATCTTACATATTTCAAACTTCTTGGCCTCTAGCCTCTTGATCTCAAAATCCCAGTATTATCAGTCAAGCCTCACAATAACAGCCAACAAGCATTGTCATACCTATTTTACTAAAGAATAACCAACACACGTGGGGACTTTGAAAGCACTGGGCAATGAAGTCGACTATTGATGATCTTATGCTTTGATTCATTGCCATAATTAAAAGTACTTCCTCCCCATCACTCACAAAGCAGCATTTACATTGTCTCCTCATATTCTCTGTATTATTTAAATAAAGTAATTTAAAAAAATTAAGGCTAGTGAAGTGAAGCAGTGGGAGTCGAGAAGAAACAAAGAAATCTGTAACTGGTTGTGATCAATTAGCTGTAAGCACCACTGCACTGAACCAGCCTAAGTGAAGTAACTTTATCTGGATGTTAACAATCCGAATGAATGAACAAAGTATATTTAGCTCATTCCTTCCTCAGGCTCTTCACACATGCTGTTCTATTTACAATGCTCTTCTCATGGCTATTTGAAGGCTAGTCTCCTTCATATCATTACTGTCTTATGTCTTACCAGGCCTCCCCACATAACCTAGCTAAAAGTAGTGGCCTTCGTGCCCCCAGAAACCCTCACAGGACTACTGCACTTATTATCTGCAATTATTTTGTTAACATATTTGTTTACCAGTTTATTGTCTTTCTTCCCTCTCTCCAGCTAAAATGTAAGTTCCACAAGGACACAAACCTTGACCTCTTTTTTTTTTTTTTTAAATCACTGTATACCCAATGCCTAGAATAGTATCTGACAAACAGGTATTAATAAAAGTTTTTGGGGGCTGGGCATGGTGGCTCACCCCTGTAATCAAGGAACTTTGGGAGATTGAGGCAGGAGGATCACTTGAGCTCAGGAGTTCAAGACCAGCTTGGGCAACATAGCAAGACATCATATTTATAAAAAAATTTTAAAATTAGCCAGGCATGGGTAGCATGTGCCTGTAGTTCCAGCTACTTGAGAGGCTGAGGCAGGAAAATCACTTGAATCCAGGAGGCTGATGCTACAGTGAGCCATGATCATGCCAGTCCATGCCAACGTAGGTGACAGAACAAGACCTTGTCTCAAAAAAAACCAAAAACCTAAGTTTATAAAAAATAAATTGATTTCACTGAATACATCTGACAAATATAAACTGCAAAGGCATTCTCTAAATTTACTCAAGTAAATTTACTTCAAATGCATGATACTAATTGATTCATTCCACAAATTCTTATCAGGCACCTAGCACAGGACTGATGTTAGGTGCTGGACACACAACAGTAAACAAAACAGCCAACGTCTATGTCATCATGGAGTTTACATTCTTGTTTCAACTTGAACCAGTAAAATGAAAGAAAAATTCAAAAAATTTTTTATTTAAAGTATGAGCTAAACCTAGAATAACTGTATACACATGGAACAAAGCAGTGAAAAGGGAAAGAAGCAAATGTATATTGGGTACTATTTCTGTGCTGGGCCCCATGTCGGGCATTATCTACGTTATCTCAACTAAACTTTTCAACAATCCTATAAGGAAAGAGGAATCAGTAATCTTATAGCTGAGGAAATTGAAACTCAGAGAATAACCTCCCCCTGGGTCATGCTGCTAGTAGGTGGCAAACCACTATTGGTAAAGACAGCAGGGCAGAGAAATTCTAGGCAGAAAAGGATGCATCTCTGACAAAACCCCACCCTCAAGCAGAAAAGCCTGAAACTGCAGCCCAAAGTGAGAACTTATATCTCCGTTTTCCTGCTGGAATGTTGCCTTTTCCTAAACCATTCATGGCCCCATCTTACCCCATCTTGTGCCTATAAAAACCCCAGACTTAGCAGGCAGAGAGGAGAAGCAGCTGGACGTCAGGGACTATGGCTAGATGTCAAAGAGAAGCAGCTTGACTTTGGAGGGATAGCTTGATGGTGTAACTTTGGAGAAGAATCCGGCTGAAGATGGCTTTACTTCAGGGGAAGATCATCTAACCACTCCCAGTCCCTTTTCAGCTCCCCTTACCGCCGAGAGCCACTTGCACTGGCAATAAAATCCCTCGTATTTACCATCCTTCAATTCATTCCTGTGACCTCATTTTTCCTGGACGCTGGACAAGAGCATGGGAGCCACGTGTGCAGATACAACAGGCTGTCACACTGTTATCAGCTCAGTGAGCCCTTTGCCTTTTCAAGAGAGGGCAGCCCCTCACTCGAAATGGCAAAGGGCACACTGAGCTGATAACACTTAAGCTGACCGCAGATGTAAAAACTAAAAGAACACTGTAACATGCCCTCTGAGGCTTCAAGGGATGCAGATACCACCTCCTGGATATTGCCACGGGGCCCGCACAGCCTTGGGTCCTGCCAGCACCAAAACAGCTAGCTGGTTCCAGCGCTTCTGCACTCCAGTTCCCATCTCATTCACCCGCACATTCCCTCCCATGAGGAGTTGAGAGTGATGGCTGAGTAAACAAGGTACACCTGTTATAATTCCCATGAAGAGGTCTTTAAGGGGTCTGATTTAATAGGTCTGGAATGGGGTCTACAATTCTATTAAGATGTTGCCAATGCTGCTGGCCCACTCTGCACATTTTGAGTAGGAAGCACAGAAAACCACTATTACAAGCGTTTTGGGAATGTACCTCAAAATGTCTAAGAAATAAAGACTGTAAAAAGCTGCTCTTAGAAGAATATGAACAGTGGGAAATACTTGACACAATAAATGCTCAACAAATGCTTGTTAATTAATCAAAGAAGCAAATGATGCAACATATAAAATGTGAAAAGTGGCAGGGCGCGGTGGCTCACGCCTGCAATCCCAGCCACTTTGGGAGGCTGAGGTAGGCTGAGGAGGCTGAGGCTGAGGTCAGGAGTTTGAAACCAGACCAGCCTGGCCAATATGGCAAAACCCTGTCTCTACTAAAAATACAAAAATTAGCTGAGCACGGTGGTGGGCGCCTGTAATCCCAGCTACTCAGAAGGCTGAGGCAGGAGAATTGCCTGAACCCAGAAGGTGGAGGTTGCAGTGGGCCAAAACCACGCCATTGCTCTCTAGCCTGGGGGAAAAAAGAAAGATCCAACTCAAAAAAAAAAAAAAAGGGAACCATTAACATTTTTAAGAACTCTTTTTGGCGCTTAATCTGACCTTGTAATCTTTAACCATAGAGCTATGGCAATTCCAAGTTTCCTACCCAGCTGTGATAAGTACCCAGATTCAGTGTTCTGGGCATCTCCATTGATATGATCTCTTTGCCACATGTAGGAAGGAATAATTAAGACAGGAGCCAATCATAATCCCGAAAGACACAATCCTCAATAGCATAATCCTGAGTGCTGAATCCAGAAAGATCAAAATCCCAAAAATATAATTCTGGAAAAAAGAATTTTTTTTTTTTTTTTTTTGAGATGGAGTCTTGCTCTGTCGCCCAGGCTGGAGTACAATGGTGCAATCTCGGCTCACTTCAACGTCCACCTCCTGGGTTTGAGTGATTCTCCTGCCTTAGCCTCTCGAGTAGCTGGGATTACAGGCATCCACCACCACGCACGGCTAATTTTTGTATTTTTGGTAGAGACGGGGTTTCGCCATGTTGGCCAGGCTGGTCTCAAACTCCTGACCTCAGGTGATCTGCTTGCCTCAGCCTCCCAAAGTGCTGGAATTACAGGTGCGAGCCACTGTGCCTGGCCGTGAAAAAAGAATTTAAAAAAAATTTTTAAAAGATATTTATTTACAGCCAGACACGGTGGCTCATGCCTGTAATCCCAGCACTTTGGGAGGCCAAGGAGGGTGGATTACTTGAGATCAGGAGATCGAGACCAGTCTGACGAACATGGTGAAACTCTGTCTCTACCAAAAATACAAAAATTAACCAGGCGTGGTGGCAGGTACCTATAATCCCAGCTACTTGAGAGGCTGAGGCGGGAGAACTGCTTAAACCCAGGAGGCGGAGGTTGCAGTGAGCCAAGATCATGCCACTGCACTCCAGCCTGGGTGACAGAGCAAGACCTTATCTCAAAAAAAAAAAAAAAAGATAACTTATTTACATGGGGATTTATTTGAGAAATATAAAAACACACACAACAGAACGCTTCACAGACCACTTTACATGACAAAATAGTCAAAAACAACATACATATTTTGCAAGCATAAACACTCAGGTATACTAACGACAGTCATACAGGTATAAGTTA